GATTGAATTCGCTGCCGTTGGTGAGGCCCTAAAGAGGGCAAGGCGGTGAGCCCCTTCAGAACACGCTGTGCACCTCTTCGTCCGAGGAGTCGGCGTCTGGACCAGTAGAGTGGCGGGCAGCCGCGCGCCCGAGCATCTGCACGTCGTCCTCCGCCAGCCCATGGTACTTCAGCAGGTGTAGGAGCCGCGCCGCGCGCCCCTCGAGCGACGCACCCCTGGGCTTCTCTGCTGCTCCTTGCCCACGGCGCCGCAAGAGAGGCAGAAGACCAGGCGGACCTCGGGCCTCTACGCGACCCCGCAACACAAGAGCGCATGCCCTTGCAGCACCCGTCACACGTGCCTGGCCCGCACGGATTCGTCCAGGTCGAGCGTGAGGGAAGCGCAGGGGGGGGCCCGTGCGGCACGGCCGCGACTACCACCACCAGGTAGCTCTCCAGCGACGTCGTCGGCTGCGGGATCCCTATCCCCCCCCAGCAGGAGCGCCGCAGGCTCAGCGTCCTCTGGAGCCTGGCCAGAGCCCTGCTCAGTGGCCTCCCCTCCCCCACGCTGCGATCGCCCGAGGGGCAGGAGCAAGGGAAGTTCTTCTTCCCAGGGGTGGTCGCCGACCGCAGGCTGGTCGGCCAGCAGGTTGCCCAGCACGAGCGGGGAACCATCCTGGCCTGCTCGAGCTGCTGCTGCTGCTGCTGCTGCTGCTGCTGCTGCTGCTGCTGCTGCTGCTGCTGCTGCGCTGGGGCCCAGCGCCGCGTCTGCGAGAGCAGCAGGCCTGTGCCGCAGGGCATCTTCATGGCCCAGTCGAGCACTGTCGCCGAGTGAGGTCTCCGGGGAGGCGCTCCAGCGCGCCGCCTCCTCGGCGAGAGCACGCAGGCCTCGCCACGGGGCCGCGTCGGGCTCGCCAATGCCGTGCCTGGCCGCTCGCCTGCCTCTCCAGGCGCGTGCCGCGGCCGGCGTCCGCGTCAGCCCTCGTCGCGTGCCCGAGCGCCTCGTGGGCTTCGACGTCGGCCTCGCCGAACGCCGCCCGGAAGGGCCCCCACGGGTGGGGCCTTCTGCCAGAGCCGCAGGCCCGGCCGCGGGGCCGCCCACGTGCACCCGCAGCGTGTTGGCGCAGTCCAGGTACAACTTGCAAGGGGTCACGTTTCCTCTCCAGGGGGAGATGGATGGTGGAGGAGGAGGAGGAGGAGGAGGAGGGAGGAGGAGGAGGGAGGAGGAGGAGGAGGAGGAGGAGGAGGAGGAGGAGGTGACTGAGTAGTAGGAGGAGGCGGAGGATGATCGGGGTGCCAACATGGCCTGTGGTCAGCCTCGGCCCTTCGTATGCCTGGATGGCTGGTTTCGCTGGTGGGCCTCTGAGCTATGGGCCAGCCGGGACGTCCTCAGCACATGCTTCCCCAGTACAGGGCGCCCTGAAAGAATTGCAATACTCCGGCTGCGCTTTAGGACCAGTCACCCCAAGGATAGCTCAGGGGGGCCTGTCCACTTTGCCTTGTCACAGACTCTTCGCTGGTGAGGCTGTTAAGTGCCATGTCGGGTCCTGTGTCTCCTGGGACTACTTCTGCAAGACGTGACGAGCGAAGTCGAATGCCTGGATACTGATAGTAGAACGTATCAGCCAGCGTTGACTCCAAATAGATAGGAGGACTGGAGGAGGACGAGAGGAGGATGGGAGGAGGATGGGACGAGGACGAAAGGAGGATGGGAGCAGGACGGGAGGAGGACGGCAGGACCAAAATCAAGCAAGCGCAAGCAAGCAAGCGGAAGCAAACAAGCGCAAACGAGCAAGACATAAGGGGGGGTGCCATTGGAAAAAAGGAGGGGGGAGAGGGGAGTGTCATTGGAAATAAGGGGGGGTGCCATTGGAAAAAGGGGGGAGGGGGGGGTCCTGAAGACCAATTACTTCTGATGAGCTAGAACTCGTATAAGGCATGTCTATTTGGAGAAACATCATTGCGGCCGCCGCACTCCGCCTGTCCAGTAATGGGCAATGACTGCGTGGGTGAAGCCACGCTGGATTGGGTGGCTGTCACAGCTACCAGCAGCGGAAGGGGGAGAAAGAGGAGGACAAGGAGGAGGAGAAGGAGGCGAAGGAGGAGGAGGAGGAGGAGGAGGAGGAGGAGGAGGAGGAGGACGAGGGCGAGAATGAGGACGAGGACGTGGAGCCTGGGGGAGCTTGAAGAGGAGACATCTCGTCCACGTCGTTGTCGTATATGCCTCTGCTGGCCGCCCGCGCCACCTTCATCGGGATGCCCAGTGCGCGGATACACTCTTTGACGTCAGTTCTGCATCCAGTGAGCTTTCCCTTCTGCTCTGGTGGCGGCGGCCTCCGATGGATACGTGCATTCGTTTGTTCTGTGGCCGCACCCAGCGGATTGAGGACGATGTTCTGAACCCCTCTATCAGTAGCTGCAGCGTTCTGGCATCACTGTCAAAGTTGGTGCATTCGTGCGCGTGGGCTTCAGCATGTGCGCACTGCAGCGCCTTCAATCGTCAACGATGCGCGCCCAGAAACGAAATGTCGCTGTAGTTCCCACAAATGCTTTGGTGCAGGTGTCGCGTTGCTGCTTCGTCTGCGAACTTCGAGGAGTTGTGCACGTGCGTTCAAGCATATTCGTGCAGCAGTTGCCTTTCACGGACTGCGATTCACACATTTAGATCGTTTGACTAAGTTGGCGATCGTATCTATATATATATATACGTATAGATGGCATGTTTTTGATCCATCTAGTCGTGAGTATCTTTTATGGATGTACAATCTGTGGGTAAGGCGGAACTGTGCACGTGATCGAAGCACGCTCGTATCGCAATTCCCACCCTACGTCCTGGACAACCCTCGTCATTACTAGCACCGTTCTCACAGTTGTTTCGGTTCAGTGACTGCTGGCTCGTGTTGCTGGAAGAGGCGTTGTTCCACCGATGCCAATCATATGTCGAACGTGCGGGGGCGAACATTGGACTGCAAGGTGCCCAGAAAGCGTCGGAGGAGGTACGAACCCAGCTGCGAGAGGTACGGGCCGCGTGACGGGTGATAGAGGCAGGGGTGGAAGTAACAGCAAAACTAATGCCATATGTTTCAATGCTATGGGGCGGCTGGATCAGCGTCGGCTTTTACTTGCCTGGGCAAGTCTGCAAGAGTCTGCGCTGACGGACCCGGCATGCAAAGGTGAACGGAATGAGATCACACATGCAACACGGTGTTTTCACCTCGAGAGCAATTTGGCAATTCAGGGCAAGTTCGTGAAATTCAAAGCTGAGTATTGCAAATGGGAAAAAGAAGCAGAGCTGGACACATACCTTGTTCATGCGTTGGCGTTCATCCACCTGCTGGGGCAAGTCAGGGAGATTCTTTACAATCACGAGGGGCAGCTGTGTGAGTCTATTGGTGGTGAGATGCGGCATGGCCCATTGCTGAATGAGTGCCTTGTGCAGCATAACATAGACATCACAATGATTACCGTTGAGTTGAAAGCTCTCGGGTTAGACATTCGATCGGGTTCGCCCCCTCCCGCCAGACTTTTTACCAGCCTGCATGGCTGGATTGGTCGGGTTGCCCGGTTGATCTAATGATTCGCTGGCAGGTTGGCAATTCGGATGTTTGGCTGAAGCGCTGGCTGGCTGGTTGACAGGTCGGCTGGCTGGCTGTCTGGCAGGCTGGCTGGATGACCAGTTGGTTTTCTGGCGGGCTCTGCACGCGGACGACGATGTTTGTTTGTTTGTTTGTTTGTTTGTTTGTTTGTTTGTTTGTTTGTTTGTTTTTTATTTGATTGGTATTTATCTCACTGTCTCCCTCTCTCTCTCTTTACCTTTTTCCCCACATCCTGAGTGGGGTTCTTGTTTTCCCAGAACACCCTCTCCTTCTCCTCCTCCTCCCGCGTCCTTCTCCTAAACCATACCATACCAAGCCATACCATACCAATACCTTACTATACCAATACCATACCAAGCCATACCAAGCCATACCATATCAATACCATACCATACCATACCAATACCATACCATACCATACCATACCAAACCAATAACATCCCAAGCCATACCAAGCCATACCATACCAATACCATACCATACCAATACCCCTCCCACCCCTCCCACCCCTCCAGGGAGGCCCCGCCTGAGCGAGGAGGGTATTCGCATCACCTGTTATTTCTCAGGTTTCGTGCCCCTCCCACCCCTCCAGGGAGGCCCCGCCTGAGCGAGGAGGGTATTCGCATCACCTGTTATTTACAGGTTTCGTGCCCCTCCCACCCCTCCAGGGAGGCCCCGCCTGAGCGAGGAGGGTATCGGAATACCATACTATTTACATGGTTTCGTGCCCCTCCCACCCCTCCAGGGAGGCCCCGCCTGAGCGAGGAGGGTATTCGAATACCATGTTATTTACAGGTTTCGTGCCCCTCCCACCCCTCCAGGGAGGCCCCGCCTGAGCGAGGAGGGTATTCGCATCACCTGTTATTTATCAGGTTTCGTGCCCCTCCCACCCCTCCAGGGAGGCCCCGCCTGAGCGAGGAGGGTATTCGCATCACCTGTTATTTATCAGGTTTCGTGCCCCTCCCACCCCTCCAGGGAGGCCCCGCCTGAGCGAGGAGGGTATTCGGAATCACCTGTTATTTATCAGGTTTCGTGCCCCTCCCACCCCTCCAGGGAGGCCCCGCCTGAGCGAGGAGGGTATTCGGAATCACCTGTTATTTATCAGGTTTCGTGCCCCTCCCACCCCTCCAGGGAGGCCCCGCCTGAGCGAGGAGGGTATTCGCATCACCTGTTATTTATCAGGTTTCGTGCCCCTCCCACCCCTCCAGGGAGGTCCCGCCTGAGCGAGGAGGGTATTCGCATCACCTGTTATTTATCAGGTTTCGTGCCCTTCCCACCCCATCCAGGGAGGCCCCGCCTGAGCGAGGAGGGTATTCGCATCACCTGTTATTTCTCAGGTTTCGTGCCCCTCCCACCCCTCCAGGGAGGCCCCGCCTGAGCGAGGACGCTATTCGAACACAGTGTTATTTATCAGATTTCCTGCCCC